CGTTTTGAATTGACTTCCAGTAGTTTACTGCGAATGTGTGGAACGTGACACTACATTGTGTAATTGAGTGGTGTCAATTATCCCTGTGCATCGAATGGTTCCGCCGTTAAGTTCCAGCGTATTGTGATGTTAATCCCAGGGGTACGACTATATAATGCGTGAATGTCACGTCATTGGGTTTGCTTCTTCAGACATCACGGTGGAGGAATACCCTTGACAAAGTTGGTCCCAGATTTTTGAAGTTGTGGTGACGCACATGGCTGTTCGAATATTCGATGAAGACTCACCAGCGCTGGGTTTCTGCGAGCGAATGGTCTCGACGCGTAACATCGTTCCTTCGTCAATTCTGCTGTCCTGGTGGTGACTACATTCCGTGTTCCGTACAACGAGCGCCGACTTACATCACGGACATAACCACAAGTCGTACGGACATAACTGTGAGTCGCATGCACCCCACACCCACACTTTCCATTAGTCTAGGGCACTAGCAGTCAAGTGTTTAATTATTGTATTTTTGTGAAATGCATGCTGTATCTTTTATGACTATCGTATTTTACGTGCACAAACCGGTTAATTAAGACAACAATTGAAACGGGGAATGCCGTATTTTGTTTGAAAGTTGTGTAGCTACACCACGAAGTCTATTTATTATTAATCTATCATTTATTATTATAAATTACCCGTTCGTGTTTGTGAGCTCTGCTCTGAGGCATTTTTCCATCACATGCGCTGGTGCTCATAACCCCGACCGAACCGTATACATTTATTTCCTTTGTTTAGGGAGTGAACCGTATATATTTATTTCCCTTATTTAGGGAGTGAACCGTATATATTTATTTCCCTTATTTAGGGAGTGAACCGTATATATTTATTTCCCTTATTTAGGGAGCTGTTAATGTTATTTGTAATGCATTTGTTTTCCGTGATTAATTAAATTCCTCTACTTGTTACTGATTAGTTCGTCTTCTCTAGTATGCTGTGTTTGTATGTTCGTATTCCCAAACATATTGCTGAACAGGTCACAACATCTCATTTAGAGGTATGAACCATAATTTGGTACGGGTAAAAGAACCACGCAACACGAGTGATATTTGGAACCCGACATTTAGACATTCGTATAATTTATCCAAATATTTAAATCAACCTCGTGACACTGCACTAAGGGCATATTTGGACCAAAATACAACGCGATTTAACACATTTCTGTTTATTAAATGAATACTTTAATGAAACTCGTATGTATGTACGATACACGACGAAAATAGAAGCACTATATATGTCAGTTTACGACGTCAACAAATCCAGGAATACCGTGCGAAATTTAAGTTATCAGTGATACCTACGTACACGGCGCAGCGACTACGGACGGACTGACCGACCGACGTAGTCGTGTTGTTCGGTAATTAGCCCCCGGTTTCAAGTAATCATATAGTACATAACTCGTCCCAATTAATTCAGGATTCCTCAGAGTCGCTGAGCAGATAATTTTACAGTTGTTCGACCGTTCGAAAATTAAAGGCAACTCTCCGAAGAAACGCCGCCAACCACGAATCAGCATTTTATACATCAACCATAACGTCTGCGCAAGCCTAATATTAAGTTTTTGAACTCTGAGAAGTCAATATACAAATATATTGACCACCAAATCCGAAGGTATGATTGGCTGATAGGGATATGAGGAATAATATTAGATTTGTACTAACACTAATAGTATGCATGTTTCAATCTACTTCAGTCAAATTTAACAACACGTGATGAAAAAATATATAGTAATAATTAGCTAATTAAACTGAACAGATTAATCACATTAGATACTATTATCAGACATTGGATTGTAGAAAATTACTGTATGTATGTGATATGAACATCTTTGCTTTGTAGGGAATACAAAGAGCAATTAGCACTAATTTTTATCTAAATACAAACAATAAAATATATTCAATATTATTCCTAACTGAAAACATTCCCTAATGCAATGCAACAAAACTTACCATTATCCTACATTTCTGATATTTCTGACAGCCCCTTTCTTGACGTTCACTTTTTTATTTGTTGCAATTAAAAAACGAGCACATAACAAGTTCAAGTTGCTGTCGATTATCCATAGCATGTATATATGCCTGAAGGTGTTTTGTTTGGCCAAATCAGACAAGTACAGAAATATATACCCACACCACTTTTACCATATTGTGACCTATGTGTCGAGTCGAATTCGATGACGAAGAACGCCCTCTGCGGTCGCATATTCATAGTACAATGTAATAGATATGATTGTCTATTATGACTGTGTTTTAGATGTTATTTATTTTCAATTGCACAAATTCGCGCAAATTTGTATTACAAATACGAATGGAAAATTTACAAATAAAAATATTATGAATATAAATATGTCATTTATAAATATGAATTCAAATTCTTGCACGTAAATATGTTTAATAAATATTGCAGCCTTCCATACGCAAAATCACTAATACTTGTTTCTGACCGATTAGGCTGCCCTATACTAATAATGCACTATACTGCCCTCAAACGGCAGGACTGTGATTTTGTCAGCATGGGGGCGCTCCAGCATGTGCATATAGACATAAACTGAAGGCCTGTACGATCGTATTTTGTCATAAATGCGTCGAAATTTGGGAAAATATCAGATATTTATATAATCGGTCAATATTTTCAAAAGCCCAGTGTCTTTGCATCACTCATGGACAAAATATTTTGAGGTAAAAAATATGTGAATGGTTTGTTTCCCTCTTGTGATTAATATAGTTCAGCTAATCAGCCAGAAACAAGTAATAGTGATTGGGGGGGTCAGAGCCGCATGGATGATTAAAGCGGGGGAGTCGTCGCCTGCGCATGCGTCAGATGGGCATATGGTGTTATTATTTACAACCAAGCGTCTACCCACGAGCCTTTGCGTTTTTAGCGTGTGTTATCGTTGTTTGTGACTCAATTCCCGCGCGTGCGCAGGTGACTACTAGCCTGACAAGTTGGCGTAGGTGGCGCCCTGGACTGCTGCGATCCCCACCAACATAGCTATCTCAGACTGGCGGCAGGAGGCGATCGACACTGCACTGTGATACATTCAGTTTATAACACGGAAAGATGCAGAGAGTAAAGATTAACGAAACCTGAACGTCGTTAAAATGTGACATTTGAGCATACCACACTTACGCCATTGACATCCCTTAATATTTGTCAGTTTTTGTTTCATTGAGTTTGAAAGCGACTCGCTACGACAATCTTTGCACAGCACAGTAATGGTAATTTATTTAGCCAAGATTTTTAGATTTGATAAACGGTTTGAAATCCACGCTTTGCGTTGCCTAACAGTTACATCGCGTCGACAATGAATTACGAAGTATTTAGAACTTATCGCTGACGGAGAAACTTTACATACAATTTATTCGTGCGTACATGATTAAAACACAACACATTTACTATCATCATCTCCCGGTCAATGGCTATTCTCGACGTGGTAAGAGCATTAAAGCTAATGGTGTAAAAAAAGTATTCGTAGGAAGAGGCTATAAACGCGTTTGCAGAAAATGTTAATATGAAGTAACAATTTCATCACGTTGATTGACTTTCTATTATTATATGTCGGTAGTAACAGAACGTGTTCCGACAGATTCGCTTATTGAACTGTTAAATAAATTGTCACTGTTTTTTTTTCTTCACGACTCGTTCATATTTATTGACATTGAGTAATCGCACGATTTTTATTTGTGAAGCCCGAGATGTGAAAACGTATCAAAGCTCGGAAATAATATCATAGCTGTGAAAGTGCTGTGTTAAATAATCTTTTTTTTTTGTTAGTGTCTCTGCTCTTATCAATCGTTCTTCGTCATGATTACGTTAAATTGCTATCAGAGATGCCACGTACACTTGCATTCTTATAAAGCTAGGCGAGTGTGTGTTTGTAAACGGTTTACTCTATTCCATTGAGTCTCAAGCAACGTTTTTAAAATATTTGCACATGCTTGGACGAAAAAATTCTTAGTTAAACCGCCGAGTCTACTGTTTTGATGCGACCTCGCACTGTACCCGTTTTTTTCAGACCATCGCTTCGCGAATTTTTACCATCGGACAACTTTTATTTTCCTGGACAATACGTCAAACCGACTCGGGCTTGTACATAATGAATAGAGACGTTCAATCAAAGGGTGTTATACATTCGGGTCGTTTCATCGAAATAAAGAGGTTGTAAACAGGTCATAAAAACATCGTTTGGAAGGCTTTAAAATAATCGTGCGGGTTATGAGCTCTATCTGAATGACTTAGTAACAAAAAACGCACACAGTACGTTTGATGATCGAAACTGTTTTACAATCTGTTTATTTAGATGACACGACGCGATTGTGATACGTTTCAGGACCGCCTATCAGCTTACAGACTCGCCAAGAAATTACAGTTAATGACGAGTCGTACGATTTTAATTCCAGGCAATCAGTAATACAAAATGTCGTGGAAGAGTGTTTTTCGAAATTAAACCTAACGTAAAAATGTTTGTCGATAGGACGAAAAATAATCTACTAGTATTCAACATTTTTAAAGTCATTGACCTCTATGATAAATATGGTGGCGTTCGTATAAACATGGTGAATTTTAGGGGGTAACCCTATGGAATAACTTCAGCCTCTTTAAGCATTTTTAAGAAAACTTACAAAATAATCTTAGTGAAAAAATTGTTGTAAATGGCTCAAGCTTATAGTGTGTATATTGTGTTTTTTTCCTACAGAGAGTGCCCAATGAAAATAACTTTATTGTATATTGGCCTACCCTCTTTAAATAAAGTGTTAAATAAATAAATAAATAAATAAATCTACCACCGCTAACAAAACAGTATTACAAATTCAATAAGCTTCTCAAAGTTAGCGGGGTTTCTAAATCCAAACACATCGAAAAGAGATTACCCCGCTAATTACAAAGTGTTTGATATATAAATAGAACCACGTTATTATTATAAATAGTTCATGTCATTTTATTCACCGTATCAAAAAATGAGTCTCGAAGTCTACGTTGAAAGTCAGCGCGAATTTTATGTTGACGTGTACAATGCATTGACTTCGACTGGTAAAACAAAGAACATAATGTTCTCGCCTTACAGTCTGAGTAATGTCTTATTTACGTTGCATGTAGGTGCTCGCGGATCTAACGCCAAACAAATTGAAACGTGTCTGGAAGTTGTAATGATTTTCATCTCAAAAACAGATCTTTGCAGAACGCCGAACGAAGGTGAAAAGAAATACGCGTTACATAAATCCAACGCTATTTTTGCTGACAATCGAGAAAAATTATATGAACCTCATCGAAGCGTTTTACGGCGGTAGATTCTATTCGATCGATTTCATGAATAACGCTGCCAGTGTGATAAATAAATGGGTGTCTCGAAACACGGACGGCTTAATCACCGACCTCGTATCGGACCTCGATTCAATGGTGAAACTCGTCAACGTAATATATTTCATAGGAAAGTGGGAAACCATTTTTAATCCGGTTTATACTACCCTCCAACTATTTCGCACGAGTGATGGTCTGGTAAATAACGTCCACATGATGTTTCAATCAATAAATCTCAAATACTAGTATTACCGATATATGGATAGCCAAATTCTCCAAATACCTTATAAATATGGCGCATCGATGTACACTATCCTCCCGTCATCGCAGAATGACACCATGCAAACATTAATGACGGCAGATAGATTGACGAATCAAATATTTGCGAAAGCGTACAAATCTGAAGTTAATTTATGGTTACCTAAATTAAAGATCGAGTTTCCGCTAAAGGAAATTATGACGAAATTGAACATGACGGACATGTTCGAAGCGAGAAAAGCAAACCTATCGGAATTAGCAGAACATTTACACGTAAATGACTGTATTCAAAAAGTTGTTTTAGACATCGACGAAGAAGGGACAGTGGCAGCGGCCGCTACTACGATGTCGTGTGGATTGCTTTGTTCGAGACCACAACCTATTGATTTCAAAGTCGATCGCCCGTTTTTGTCTATGATACGAGACGATGCAACGGGTCTAGATTTGTTTTTAGGGACTGTTACAGATATGTCGACATGAAATTTAAAAAAGAAAGAAAAAAATGACCAGTTATTATTTATTTATTATCACGATCAGAAACTTCTTGAGGTCGGGATGGACGAGGTATTGAGATGATGATGTATTTCATAACCTAACATACTACACTAGTCTTAGCATTTGCGGGGAGTCTGACTAGAGACGTTCAATCAATGGGCGCTATACAATCGCTTCGTTTGATCTAATTAAACAAGTTGTAAAACACCGTTCCGTAATCGTACTGGGGGGTTTGAAATCATTGTGTGCGTGTTGTTTCGTTAGGCCTTTCGGATCGAGCTTACAACTGCGTTCGTCCGATAGAAGTTTAACATTGCTTTCAACTTAGTGCCTGCGTTGTTCGTTAGTCTAATAAAATGTTCGTTTGTTTTGAAATCGATACACGCGTTGTTTGCTGGGATACAAGAAGTACGAGCTTTCAACTGCGCGCGTCCGTATGTTAATGAAAAAAACAAAATAACGTACGAGCACAGTCCCTCTATCCCTCTATGATAGAGGGACTGTGGTACAGGCTTAGCGTTGGGCGGATAAAAATGTTTCGTTCGTACAAGTTTGTTTTGAAATCTATGTTGCTTGTCGAAATAAAATAGTCGCCTTAGTGCGCGCGTTGTTTGTTAGCGGGCGCGGGTTGGCACAGAAATAGGGCCAAGGGTTGCGTGTATGGTATCTATCGAAAAACGTTTTGTTCCGTTTCCCAATTGGATTTTCAAGACCGACGGTATCTACGTAGTTGATCTCTGTTTATTAACGATTAGTACTACACGTACGGATAGTCAGTCCCTTTAAAGAAAGCAAATTAGTTTATCGCTCAACGATGTCACGTTAGTATTGTACGTGCCGGCTACTATTATACTCAGTCGGTTGGGCGAGTACACTTTAGTCTATTCCATTGAGAAACGCGTCGTCTTAAGCGATGTTTTACAACATAGTTTTACACATGTTCGGAAGCAAACAATCCATTGTTTCTATTGTTTCGACGTGACCTTGCACAGAACGCGTTTTTTTTTCAGACCATCGTTATAATCGATTATCAAACGTACTGGAGCGAGGGTTTGAAAGCTATGAGTGCATAGGTCCGTTCGAAGAGAAGGCGGCCAGATACTGAAAGTAATAAAAAAAATAACCGACGAGCGTTGTTCGTAAGTGGTAATACAAATAGTTAACGAAGAAACATGCTTTGTTACATCTGAATACAACTTAGATTGAATATTATTTGCGTCTCTATGTCAATCGCAAACTTGGCGTGCGAGCTAGCGAGCGAGTAATACCTGTCCCCATCGACTGTATTCATCGGGTCTATATCCACTTGTTGTAAAACGTTGCACTGGGTGGGAAAGTAAAATCAGATGACTACAATGAACAGTGTTCAACTATGCATGGACAGCAACATTTGCCGATTTAATTGCTATAACTGTATGCTTACTTTTACTTTATTTTTCCACAGTAGTTTATTCATTTTTGTTGTTGTTGTTATTTCACTTTTGTAACTATTTCCGCTTTATCGAGTGAGTGTTAAAGATTTGATACGACTGTCTTTGATGTCCGTGTTGGATGTGTGTGCGTTGTTGGTAACCAGGGTAAGCGAAGAAAAAGTACCCCTATCGAACCAGTAGGGGCGGACGCCCCCGGAGACAAACAGCGTTTTGACGATGGATGAAAATATTATAATTGTCGAACGTTTGATCCACCAAGTCCGACTGGTGCATCATGCGACACCCCACCCCGAGTACAATTCTGCGACCCAATCACTGGCTTAAAGGGGAGCAGAGGTGTGGCTTTTGACACTCTGTATATAAAATTTAAGATCTATGAATAAGTTCTGTCGATAAAAACAACTTGTATGTGCTGCGAAATGCCCTAAATATCTGGTATAAAACGGGCTGTGAGGCAGACGACAAACGTCCGCTTTTTCTGGCGTCATTTCGCCTCTAGAGGGCCAGTCAAATGACGTTCAAAATAGTCATTTTCAGGGATAAGAATTTTCCGCGGAATTCTGCGGATTTCTAAGTCCCAGGGATAGATTTTCTGAAACGTCTAAATCCGAAGAGAAAATTTTAGGGAAAACAAATCTTGTTCATTCACCGGAGTAAACATGCTGTCCGGTCATTGTTGCTGGCTGCAAGAGGCCTGTATTCAATGTATGGTTGAAGGGAGACAACTCTAGGTGTCTCCAATGCGGAATGTTCGCGACTCTTTTCATCAGTACAATAATAAAATCCGAAGTGGTTACTAAGTGTTTGAAGTAATATGTAACGATTAACACGATTGGCTGGGTTTTCTCTGATGGGCCAATCAGTGAAGAGCTTCATTTTTCTTTTTACCAAAGGCACCATTTTATTGTGTCAATTGTTAGCTGAGTTGAATCGTTGTTTACAAGTTTCAAGACAACGAGTCGGCTGTGCGAGAGATCAATAAAGACATTAGGAACAAATTGCGTTGGGCAAGGTCCGGGGCATGGCTTGACAAGGAAGTGACTTTGACCGTGCGAATCGGGAAGAAAAATGTGGTAACTGAACAAGTCAGGAGGCTGGTTGGCGATCGGCTCCGCTCAAAAAACAAGCAATATGTTTTAGGCTGTTTCCATGGTAGGACTTGAACGGGAAACTAACATCAGCTTATTACTAAATGGGCCCCATATACGAAGTTCGCAAAAAAACATTCAGTCTTTAGAAGTCACTTAGTTTATTACTGAGATGTATTCTGCTGTTGCATTTATTATTTCCAACCATTTTGCGATAGTATTTTCTAGAATGAAGGCAGCATTTACAGTTCATTCAAAGTTCAAAGTTGCGTTGGGAATTACGTTGATACAGTGTAACAATGTAGGCGCCGGTGATATCTTACCAGTGTGCAACGTAGCCAAAATAAAAAGCGTGATCATTTGAACTGGTAGGAGGTAATAAATTTGGGGCGAAAGTATTTATAAATCAGTTTTTGGCTGCTATCATGTCAGTGGTGAGTATTAACAAAATCAGTCAAGCCAAAAAAACAGGAGTAAAAAGCTGTTGTTGGTAAAATGTTACCCCAACTTTGAGGTCAATTTGTTTGCCCACACTCAAGCTGAGCAAATGAGCTGTATGTCCGTGCATTTTAATCCTAGAATTGTAGGGCGAGATACAATTGGCACAAGGTATTCAAAAAAATAAGTTTGTTGGATGTTGCCATGGAAACGGTGGGCCAAAATTTGTTTTCAGATTTTACAACCTAACTAGGGTGAAGGTTCGGACCCCGGCTACTTTACTTTCAGCTGAAAATTAAAATTCTCATTCTCATCCCTGCATTTTGACTGGAGTCCATGGTGGGTATGAACTATGTGAATAGGCAGGTTCTGAGAACCCTCTGCCTAAGTTTTACAGATACATAAATTACTTATTAATTAGCCACTTTAAGCTTTTCTGACATCTCAAAATTAACTGATGTAACTTGGTACTTTTAGGTGTGCACTGTGATAATATGCAAAGCTGATTAGAATGGAAGAAAATATGTGCATATTGATTCCTGATTTTGTGTCTGCAAATGTTAATTTAGCTACATACAAATGGGGAATATGTCATTGACCATAAGTGATCTTGATAATGCATTAGTGTTTACACATTTCCATATT